GAGCAGCCACAGGGATAGGGAGTGCTGGAGAAGGAGTTGCAATTTTAAAAAGGGTGATCAAAGCAGGCCACATTGAGAAGATGACATCTGAGCAAGGACTCAAAGGAGAAGAAAGAGTGGACTAACTGATATCCAAAGGAAGAGCGTTCTGGGTAAAAGGAACAGCCGGTGCAAAGGTGCTAAGACAGGAGCCTTTTGAACAGGATTCCTGTTCAAGGAATAGCAAGGAGGCCGGTGTGGCTAAGGCAAAATGAGCAAAGGGGAGAGTGGACAGTAGATTATGGTTAGAGAGGAAAGTTGGGGAGGGACTTGGACTTTTACTCTGAGAGAAGTGAGGATTCACCAGAGGTTTTTGAACAAAGACAGACTATGATCTGACTGACCATGGTAACAGCACTGCATAGCTTGAGTTGAAGAGGAGCTTGGTAATAGATTGAAGAGGAGCCCAAGGGTGAAAGCAGCGAAACAGGAGGAGTGCTAGCAATGGAGGTGGTAAAAAAGCAGATTCCAGATATATTTTGAAGGTTGTGTCAACAGGATTTGCTAATATAACTTCCGTAACTTAGGTAACCCAAAGTAGTTTTATTCAGGACCTTGTTATAGGGGTTTTCCAACGTAGTGGTCATTATAAAACTTTGGTAATACATTTCACATGGCTAATCATTTAAATTTTTCACTTGATGTATTGTTAATATTTTTGCTAATAAAGCAGCCTATTAGCTTTTTTTCACATTCAGACATCATATATTCAATGACTTGTCTGTATGTAGATTTTGGTTTTCATAGTTAAAGTTTTTGTCAAAGTTTTCTTCCCTTTTTCTTAGTAAAGAAAATAGAAGAGCATTGCAATGCTTCATTCCTTCTAGAAAATTTTAGATTATTTAATCATCTGTTTTATTTAGCCAAGAATATTCTCATATTCTCTCCCTCCCTCCTTCTCTCTCATAATTCTTGGCATATGATCCAAAAGCATTAGGTTTCTCAAAGGTGCTAGCATTATATTGATTAATGATACTTTTTTTCTTTACTTGATAGGTGTTTCTTTTTGAAATCATCATAAATGAGTTTTAAAATGTTTGGTTTTGTCAAGTTAGATTTGAGTATATGGTGCCACATGACCTGTAGTGGAAACTGCTTGCTTTGGAGAAGCAGTTTCACATGAAATTGCATAAAAAGTAATTGTATAATCCTTTGAAATTTGAGGAGGTGTGTCATCATAGTACAGGGTTTCCCAACAGCCACACTAATAACATTTTGGACCAGGTACTCTGTTGTGGGAGGCTGTCCTATGTGTTGTAGGATGCTCTACCCACTAGATGCCAATAGCGATTCCCCCCAGTTGTGACAACCAAAAATGTCTCTAGACATTGCCAAATGTCCCCTGGGGTGCAAAAGTCACCCCTGGTTAGGACCCACTGTCGGAGTATAATGTTATAGTTCTCATGCTTTGCCTCCCTACAGGCATTAATTAAGGTATACATGCAAATTTCTTTTTTTATGTCATCTTCTTCCCTTTTATTCCTCTTTCTCTTGTGAAAGAATGTGAAAACTTCCGTTATGTTTCAGTGTTTTTCTCTTTTCTTCCTCTTACCCCTAAATTAAAAGTACTGTACTTTAGAAAGAAATAGTACAGTTGTCAAGATAAATGCAACTCCTGGCTTCTTGCCTTCCTTCATTGGCTCTGTTAAGTACTGAGAGTTGCTGGAATTTTCTTGCCTCTCCTAACTCCTGCAAACAGCCTCACAAAGCATCACCAGGGCGTGGAGAGATGAAGCAATCCTCAGACCTTTCTGTGGTTCTGACCTACTGGCATACAATTTTAATAACTGAAATTGAAGTTAAGCAGCTTCTCTGAACGCAAACTGCTATGCACACAATCACTTTCTATTCTGAGTGGGGCCTGTGACCTGGAGGTTTGGGGGCGCGGTTAATTCTCAGAACTGTGCAAAACCCCAGTCCCACAGACACTGAGCCAGAAGCCTCCACCCAAGCATTTCTGTGTGTGCTTCCTTTAAATGGTTTTCCTCGCTAATCTGGGAACACGCCTGGCTGCTCTTTCGTCCCCTTCTGGTCTCAGTTCTCCTTTCACCTGCTTAGGGCCAGACTTTATCATAAACGATGTTCATCATATTACACTAGTTGCTGTACCATTGTGGATTTCTTCCTCTGTTGCTCTTGGTTGCTGACATTTCTCTCACATCTCTTACCACAACTCCCCAAAGTCCCTCATGTTATATAGAAAAATTGAAATTTTCATTAAAATGAAAGCTTATTTTATTCTTTATTATAAGAAGTACATTGGTTAATCTTCTGTATTACTTTTGTAAGGTTGTTGAACATAATGTGCATGTTCAGCTTGAATGTGGGGTTTTAATAATTGTACTTAGAAAAATCTTATGAATTATAAGATCATCTTAAATTTATCTTGTATTTCTGACTGCTATGCTTTTCTTCCCCTAAAAAAAAATCAATGCCTTGATTTCAAAAGAAAAAAATGACTGTTTCTTTTGTTTATTAGATGTGAATCCTTTCACTGATCCTCTCCTTCTGAGCCAGCGGTAGCAAGCATGTATGATATAGCCAAAGAGTTTTTTCTATCAGAGTTTTATAACTCTTCCCACTGATATCAATTCAGTTTGAATTTGGGGGCAGTCAGAGGAAGATCTCTGGCATTAGGCTGCATGATTGAAATGCTTAGCAAATTGCCAGTGTCCTTCGGTGCTCCCTTTGTGGTTTGCCAAGCAAGCTTTCCTTTCAGCTTATCTTCCCACGTTTGTTCTTAACAACTCCCACCCTTCAGACTGCAAGGCCAGGGTTAGGCTGCTGCAGGAGTCCTTACCAAATCAGAACAGGCTTGAGATGTTCCTCTTGTACCCAGGGAGTAGAAACTTACTTCCAGGTTGAGTAGTCTATACTTAATTTTGTTTGTCTAGTCCTAATGGTTTGCATTCCTGATTAATAGTTTCAAAGCTACCTTAGTGAGAATGTGTCTTTAGAAAGAATAAAAGGGGAAATAAACATTTGTTATGCCTGTTTTCTAGAGTTAAGATGTAATCTTGTTAGCCTGTAAATCAAAATTGGGGATTTCTGAAATTGTGTTTGACTATAAGTCACAGACACATTAAAAAGACTATTTTTCTAAAATCCACACTTTAAAATTAGGGTTAATTTAGGAAGTGATAGTCCATATAAAATATTTACCATGACATTAAATAGCCAGTTCTTCAATTACACAAAAAATTCAACGTGATTTAGAATCACCTGTTGAAGAAAGCATCTGCAGTGTAAAGATAAACATGGTGATGATAAGCTCAGTACAGAGAATTAAAGTGGGGGTTTTCTCTCAGAATGAGTAACTTAAAGAGAAATTACATACCACTTTTCCTGCCTTTTTTAAATGTAGGAAACTCTACTTTGGTAATATCTTTTATCTTTTATTTAAAGTAGTGGCGATAAAAAGGGATTTTTTTAAGTAGTGATTTTTAGAAGTTACAGACATTTTTTTAAACTCCTAAGTGCAGTGAGATTTAATACCGTATAACTTATGTTAAATGAAAACTATTGATCATCTTCTCAGTTCCTCTTAGTCTAATGAGTTTTGGTTTTAAACCTTGTGTAAGAATAAAACTAGTGGTAGAACTGTGGAGAAAGATGGTGTCTCAGAAGCTGTCCTAGTCGACTCAGTTATTCTGTGATTCTCATGTCTATGAAGCTAGTAGATTGGACACCTCTGTTTATAGCCGGCACTTAGAGAGTCACATGGAGTTCCCAGGTCTGCTTTTGTCTCTGCAAATTAATCAGCCAGAAATCAGATTGCTGCTATAAAAGAATAGATATACACTGTAAATATTTGAAGCCAGCATAAGTTTTTTTCAGACTTTTCTCTGAACATTTTCTTCTCTCAGTTAAGCATTGAAGTAAAAAAGGAGAAAAAAAATATTTACTGTTTGTTTTCTATTCTTTTTTAATGAAAATTTCTCAGATGTGCTGGAAAAATCTCTAGTGATTTTGAACACGTGGCTCTTGGGGAATCTGTACAGTGAATTGCTTCTACATTTTTAATTCAGGAACAAAACATGCTATGAGATTAAAGGCTTGGAAGTGCTATGTGAACTTACTTTAAACTTCTTGAGCACTGAAGAAATTACTATGTAGAGAATAATTGAGTCTTTAAGCAGTCTCTAATGAAGTAGCAGGTTACAGTTCACGTTTATTCAACTTCAATTTTATTCAACGGTTGTTCTTTGGGTCTTATCTGAGCAGAGAATGCAAGTACCATGAGAGGAGAAATAGAAAATGGACTATAGCTCCAAAGGTGCTTATGATCTCTTTAGGAAGACAAAACACACATTTTTTAAACTATAATGTATATAATACAGAATATAGATTCCAGGATTACATGGAAGAAAGAAATGACCATTAAGAAATGCTTACTCTTTAAATATTTACTTAGATATTGGAGAAAATTTAAGCGACTTACTTAATTGTGCACTTCAGTTTTTTTCATCAGTAAATTGACATGCTTTAGGGTTGTGATAATTAAAATAATAGATGTAAAGCATATAAGCAGCGTGCCCAGCACATAGCAAGTACTTACTAAATGATGCTACTCATAATAGTAACATCATCTGGTTTAAAATAGTACCTATGAATTACGTAGTATTTTTCCATTCTACAATTGAAGAAATTAACTCTTCAAGAGGGTAAAGTAATTTGCCTAAGATTCTATGGCTAAATAAGAGGTGGAGCGTAGGATTGAACCCAGGGAATCTAACTGCAGAGACCAAACTCTGAATGACAATACTATTATACTGCCTTATTATTCATAGTTTATTTCACAAAAATTAATTGAACATATCTACATGCCGGGTACTGTTTGTCATTAATAACAACATTATTTATATTGAATACAGAAGAAAATATGCAAAATGTAATGGAGATCGGCATATAATGACATTGTATTAGCTTTTTATTTTGACAAAGCCTAATCCAAATATTTAAGCATATTTATAAATAACATCTGCTTAATAAATATTAGAACCAATGAATATTGCTTCTCCCAGTAACATGAGCCAGATAATACTAAATGAATAATGTGTTTATAAAACCTTGGACTTTTACCTGTTCATTTAGATAGGACTTACGTGAGGAAATTTCTTATTCACTCTTTTTTTTTTAACTCATTTTTAAAGTTTTAAAGACACTAACCATAGATAGACCTTTGTATTCTAACAACTAGAAAGCAGAAAAGTCATAAACAATTTGCTTTTTTATCCTATAGTCGTGAAATACTGTGTTCTGAATAGAAGCATCCATGGTTGAGTTCAAACAGAAAATGGTCTGTTGGTTTCATATGCAGTGGGACCCTTTCAATATGCTTGACTTGTGCCTCTGCAAGTCTCTGCCATCTCAACTTTCAGTATAAGTAGAACTGAAAAGTGAGGTTTATGATTATTTATTTATTTATTAAAACCAAAGAGGTTTTCTCGGTGCCTGTTGTTAACTAAGCTATGACCTGTTAATAATGTAGTTTAGTGTCCCTAATATATTCATATGAACACTTTGCTATTTGGTGGTGGTTTCCATTCAGAAGTCAGCTATAGGGTTGTATATGGGGTGAATCAGATTTTGTAAAGAGATTATATAGTGTCTTCTTGAATGTTTTATCTAAAAAAAGAAATATAATGGGGTCTGTGCTACTTCTGGCTGATGCAAGACAGGTGAGGATGTTTTTTATTTCGATTAAATAATTCAGTTGCTGACAGTCCTCTCTTTGGTGTAGAACATAAAAAATGGGTTTAAAAATGCTATAAGGAAGGAAGCAAACTATTAGTAGAATCTGGATGACCAAAAGATGCCTTTTCACAGAACTGTAAGTCAAATCTTTCTCTGTAATGGATGTACAGGTCCTTATTTTTCTCAGATGGCTGACAAAAGAGTAGTATGATGTTAGTACGACTAAAAATGAAAATCCAATAAATGTAGTTCCAATGAGGCCTGCAGTCTGAGAGATCACGGCTCCTAGTTCCATCTGCCGATTATAGCACAGAGTCTCTTCTCCTTCTGTAGCCTCTACAGCTGAGTAGTATATGATAACTGGAATAATTATGCCTAGTACAACTCCCCATATGTAAACACACAGTTTTCTAGCAAAGTTGGGCTGGCGAAATTTTTTCAGTAATTGGCCATAAAATATTTTCTCGTAGCACGAAGGGGTCTCTTGTATGGAATCCTTTTTCATTAAGGTAGCATAGCGGCTGATGGCAATCCAACTCAAAATTAAGAGGCTGACAAACATACTTACATGCATGGATAGAGTTCCCAAAAAATTGACCACCCTGCATTGTGCAGATCGATAGTCCCATTGAAAACCTTTCAGGAAATAGATACCCATGAAAGGCATGGCACTGCACACAAGTAAGTTTGCAGTCACAAGATGTGCTAGGTAGATGTGCGTTGATGTTTTCTTACCTATTTTTGTTAAAAATACCCATTGAGAGAGAGAATTTCCAAAGAGACCAATGATACAAAGGAACGTATAAATAATCGGCAGAGCCATGGAGGAGATCATGGATGGTTGAATACATGTTGCGTTGTTACTCATTTATATCCGATTTTCTTGATTTTGTCACAGGAGCTGGAACAGAATTGCAGATATTTAATATTAAAATTTTAGATAATATTTAAGCTGAATAGTTCTTTAAAAAAAAGCATTGGATGAAATAAAATAGCAACATAGGGGCCGGCCTGGTGGCACAAGCTGTTAAGTGCATGCGCTCTGCTGTGGCGGCCCGGGGTTCGCCGGTTCGGATCCCGGGCGCGCACCAACGCACTGCTTGGCAAGCCATGCTATGGCGGCATCCCATATAAAGTGGAGGAAGATGGGCATGGATGTTAGCCCAGGGCCAGTTTTCCTCAGCAAAAAAAGAGGAGGATTGGCAGATGTTAGCACAGGGCTGATCTCCTCACAAATAAATAAATAAATAAATAAATAAATAAAATAGCAACATAAATGTATTGGATAGAAAGAGAAAGTATAGATGCCTTCTCACCGTCTCTAATCAGGATTATCCAGTTGAAATAAAAGCAAAAAGTTGATTATTGTGGATAGTGCCTTTGTCTGAAAAACAAAATTTCATATAAATAGTTAAATGCCTGAGATTTATCATTTTGTATTAGAGGAATTTATAGTTCTTATATTAGATTGCAAAGCAATTTGTAAATGACGATTGATTTTTCCCTTGAAAGGTAATTAAAAAAAAATTTAAGGCACATGCAAGCAATACATACTGGCCAAAGGAAAGTGTTACAAAAAGTATTTTGTGGCCACATTAATGGAAGACTGATTTTTAATTATCACCTTAATTGTACATACATACTTTTCAAAATGTTGTCTTTTCATGGCTAGGTTAAAGCACTTCTCTATAGTCTAATACTATTAGAAGAGTCTCTTTTCATATTTCAGAAGTAAACTTCATTCTACGTAAACAAATACTGAGGCAAGATCCTAAATTGAACAGAAGGAAAGTGTAGTGACCAAGGAAGACACCAGAATCCCAGGGTCTTTACCAAAGGGCATCAGTAATTTCTTATTTCAAATATTTAATGCTAAACTATCATACTTCAATAAAAAGTTTACTTTAAAATTCTATGTCAGAACTAGTTGCTATGCTTATTGGTCAGAGCGCCCTCATGTGTCTTCGTGTGTAATTTAGTATCTTGGTTTTTCAAAGAATATGATGTTTTTAGAAGATAATTTAATCATAGCATAAATGCAAGATGTGGTTTTTGCGTTTTTATGTCTTATTTTTAAATCTTTCTCGCTTCAAAGAGTACACATGAAACGTTGAAGAGTCATACAGACTCCTTTTCATTCTTATTTTTTTCATTTCCTTATTTCAGGTGGGATTAATAAAGAAAAGTTATTGGATTCTGGTCAAATAAGAATCATGAGCTCTATTCAGAATGTGCCGCATTTCTCTGAGTTTTTCACCATAGCTTTCTAGGTAGCACATTCTCTACTGTTTTATAATCTAGAGTGGGGATTCTCAATCTTTTTTTTAATTACCTTCTCTCTTTTGATAAACACAAAAATTTTACCATACACTGCCTTCTGAGATTTTTTATATGCCCCCAGCCCCTCAGGGCTGTTTTACTCTCTGCCCTTCTTCAGAATCACAGTTATATTTTTTGCATCTTGGATTCACGAAATAGGGATTTTTTTTCCAAATGCACTATTATAATTTTGAAGTAATTTTTTAAACCAGAGTATCCCCACCTAAAGACTTGAAAGCTTGAAGGCTGTGCAGTGTCTCTAGGTTCAAATACTAAGACCTTAATTAATGTCTACCAGTGTCATTATCATTTTATTTTATTTCTTTGCACTTTTTATTTAGAATATAGTCCATGTGCTTCAGAGTTAGTTGGTATCTGAATTCAGTGCAGCCTGACAAATTGGAATCTGGTTGCAGTTAGTGTATATCCAGTTGTAAATATATAAAACCTAATCTGTAACTTGATTGATTTAAAAATCAGTCGTATAGACAGGGAAATAAGCCAGTTTATTTCTTAAGAAAAATTTATCTGATCAAAGTAGATTTTTATTTTACATAAGGAATGGAGCTTCCTTTTATGATGATATAAAAGAAGAACACTAGCCCCCGCCTTGTGTACATAATGCATTATATACTAAAATCTGTAGAGGCAATAGTGCTTCTGTATTAATAGATAGTATTCCTTTTTTTTTTTTTAACTAAACCACCTCCTACAGCACCTGCCATCTCATATTACTCCTTACCATTGCCTTCTTTTTCTGTTTCACACTGGCAAATGCTTCAGAACAGAAGGGAAGTAAAAAGACTTTCACGGAGGCTAGCTTTATCAGACAGATGACATTGAGACTTTATAGGAACTTTACTATCACAAACAACAACTAGTTCACCATCTTTAGCTTCCCAGACATCAAACTTGTATCTGCTATGTACCTCTCCTTTAAAAATAAACTTTGATTATAAAACTACTAGATAATTATTTTCTAAGATTTGGGAAATACTGTAAAGCTTAAGATATCAAAAATCACATGTTATATATGCAGAATGGCTCTCCAGAAAATGTCTGCAAGTCTGCATTTCCCTCAGCAGAGTGTCTTGTGTCGAGTCACCCATGCACATATTGTGTGTCTGCTAATTTGACAAATGAAAAAAGTTCTACAACTCTAACTTCAGTTACTAATGATTATCTACATAAATTAATATGCTGACTACCTTTCTTAATGATCAATTTTCAAAATTTAAACATTTTAGTCCTGTTAGAGTTTTTATAGAGTTAACTTTTAAGCTAGAAGTAAGTGATCAGTCTTACCTCTATCAGTAGTTTATGCCAACCAAGGCTCTGTTGTTCCCAGGCAGTGATGCTCAATTTCAGACTTAGAAGTTGCTGATTGTCAATCTTCCTGTATCTTTCACTTTTAGTTAGTGTGAATAGATTCTTGCATGACACCAACTACAGTGGGAAAAAAAGGAAGTTAAACAGAGTATTGAAGAAATTTAATAGTTACGGGAAATGTAGCAGCTACCTCAAAAAAAAAAACAACACTTCATTTCTCTGTTTCTGTAGTGGGAGGGAGTAGGTGGACAGTATATACACTTTATTTCCGTAAGATTATTTCATGAACCAATTATACCTCAGTTAGCTTTATTAGCATGCTTGGCTGAAGTTAAGCCTAAAGGCTTAATCCCCATGACTAGTTAGTTTTACATAACACAGTGGTAGAGGGAACCACTCCATAGTAACCCAATAAAATATTAGTGCAAACTTGTCTGTAAAGTCGTTTGTGGATGGCTTATTTGCAATTTGTCCTTATCAAGAATAAAGGGAAACAAAAGCCGATTTTCTTACCTGTAGCAGCTTACTAGAATCAAATACTATAGAGCTGGAATAGAATGTCATGATCATCTATGGGCAGAAACCCTTTGTTTTAAGAATCAAGAAGAGAGGCCCAGAGCAACACGCTGTAAGCAGAGACTGCACCCAGGGGTTTGGGTCCCAACTTGGTTACTCATGAACTAACGCATTCTACTCCAGATTGTCCTGTGCTGCCTCCGTTCAGATTCAAAGTAATACATTGTTTGGAGCATTTCATAATGGATTTGGGGAATCCTGGTAAGTGCCGGAATCTGAAGACCAAATATGCCTCAGATAAAATGAATAGTTATATTATAATATAAAGAATTGTGAAACTAATTTTATGCAGAGTATTGTTTAATCAGTCTGTAAGCTAGTAACTAAGTGAAAGCTAAGTGTGTACAGCTGCAGAGTCAAACCTGCATCACGCACTACTCTTCCTTGGGTAGTTAAACTAGTGGGACTCTGAGAATGGGAACAGAAATCTAATTTCATCAAGCCTGAGCACTTTAGTTATCAGTAAATCTTCTTTTAAAATTAACAGAAGCATTTTGCCATTTCTTATAACTCCCAATACTTATCTTATTTCATGTTGATTGCGTAGATTCTCCCTGATGTTTGTTTGAAGTGAGAACTACCTGAGTGTCTGGATTTTGTTCTGCTGCTGTCTTTGCAATGCTCGCCATCATTTAATTAAGAACAATGACTCATCCACAGTTACATGGCCATTGATTACACAGTAATTTGGCGTCTGGAATTCCTATCATTTTTACTTCAACGATTTTTCATGTTCCAGGAAGGAATTACTTAGAACAAAAAACAGTTTGAAATAATTTAGAGGAGAAAGAATGGAAATGGAATGCTGTTTATAAGTGATGGAAAGATAATTTTAATAGGACCTGTTTGACACTTAAGTACCTTTGGTCCAAAAAAAAAAGAGTGCCCTTGCTCTCCACAACTTTTCCTCCATTGTCCCCCAACTCAGTAAATGATACCATCACTTCTTCAGTTATTCAAGCAAAAAACCTAGGAATCATCCTTGATTCCTCTCTTTTCTTGACATCTCAAATCCAGTCACTGCTACTGCAGCTTCTGCCACCGCCACCAGCATTAGTCACATTTAATGGAAGCTTGTTGTGTGCCAGGCATCCTGCTGTGTGCTATACATACATGTCTTATTTAGTCTTCACAATACCCTGTGAAATAAGTACTATGAAATAAATATCTTCATTTTAAAGGTGAGGAAAACTGAACCTCAGAAAGGTCATATAGTTACCTAAGGTCACGTAGCCATATCCATCCTTGCAGCACAGTGGCTGGCTTCCCCCCAGAGCAAGTGATTCACGAGAACAAGGCCATAACTTCGATGCCTTTTTTGGTCTAGCCTTTGAAGTCAACACTCTCACTTCTGCAGTGTTCTGTTGGTCACACAGAGCCAGCGGTGATTCAGTGTGAGAGGGGTAAATATCAGCAGGTGATGATCATTGGGAGCCATCTTGGAAGCTGGCAACCACAGATGTTAATCAACTATTGGATGGAGGAAGAGTCAGAAGGACTGCTTAAAATGATTGTCACACAACTGATAATTTATTGGGCAAGAATGCCTGGATAGGTGTAAATTTTGCCATTTCTTCCTGTTTTGACTTTTAGTGCTCTGTATTTTTCTTAAACAGTGCAATTCATTTAACAAATATTTATTGGAGTTCTTACTATGTTTCTAGTGGCGTATGGAGGTAAGAAAAGAAGTATATTAGCCACAAGCTAATTTAGGGTCTCTGAAAATTCAAGAGATTCCACAAGCAAGCCAAGAATTCAGATATGTGATGTGTGGTACAGACTTTAAATGTTCTATGAATTAGAAAAGGGAGAAAACAGTGAATCAAAGTAGTTCTGAAAGGCCAAAGGAACTGGAAGGAAAGAGAAGAAAATGCATGGTGAGCAACAATTCTGTGCCAGGTACTGGCAGAGTATTTTACATATAAGAGTCCTAGCGATGGGTGGTGGTAGTCCCATTTTACATGTGAGGAAATTGAGTCTCAAAGAGGTTAAATAGCATGCCCAAGGTGGCACAATTAGTAAATTAACTTTAAAGCACATGTCTTTTTTTTTTTCAACCTCACACTCTGCCTTAGAAAGCAGAAATTATTGGTTTTTCTGGAGAGTCAAAAAGGGTATCTTACATTACTTATGGTAAGTAAACTGGGGTCAAGTTTTGAATACTTTTAACTTCATTCGAACAGGGTTTCCTGTTCTAGGCTCTGAGGTAGCAGAATTGACTATGGAAGAAATCAAGCCCAATTTTTTTCTGTCTTTGAAAACTTTGGGCTTTGTTAAGCTAATTTTTATCCCACCAATATCAGTATAAATTCTTTATAATTTAAGTGACTTTGAGTTCCCTAATAGAAATATGAGGAAATTTTTATTTATATTTTTCTAAGATAATAGGAAATATTGCAATTGGTAGAAAAGCACAGATGTCAGAGAATACTAGATTAACAAGTATAACTTATCAGACATAAATTTTAAGAATTGCAAGTTCTCTGTAAAAGTGGCCTCTGGACTTGGCTCATTCAGGTCACCACTAGTTTTCTTTGGTTCTCATTCATCTTTCCTATCCGTCTCCTCTTCAAAGTTCTGCTTCTGTTATCCAAGTCCAAATGCTCTTGTGTAACAGTTCTAATTACTTCCTATTTCATCTGCCAAATACTGATCTCCTAAGTGTTCTGCTCTGACCCTTATGTTTACTCCTTGAGGTGCTAGAGTAGTTCCCCAGAATATAAGTCCTGCCTTGTGCTAAGTTTCCTGCTTTTGAGATATTTGTGTGAGTATCAAGTACGTTTTTTACTCTGGCCCCAGAATTCATTTGGAGTGGTTCAGTAAGAATGGTTCAAAGGACAGGCATGTAGTAATTTATTTTAACAATCGATGGAGAGCTGTATATATATAACAGGGGTGCATGAGAGCTTCCTTGACTCACATGAATTATTGGGATTAGCATTAGGATCCCTTATCAACTTCCCTCGGAGCTAGAATCCAGAGGACACAGGACACCTCAGTCACACTTGAACCTTTGTGCTTCAACTAGACAGTTATTTTAGGCTATCCAAGCTAGTGTCTCAATTGGCTACAGTTGGCCTTTTAAGTACTCTCTCTGACCAGTCAGGAGCTCAGGGCGTTGGGAGGTTGGTGTGCAGGAAGAGAAGAGATGGCTTATGTAGTCCACATTAGAACATCACATTCAAAAGATTATTATTTCTCAAAAGGGGGGCAGTGGAAGCCTTTATCTGGTTCAATGCACACCCAAGCCAGTGGTTACCTTCAGGAGGAGTGAAGCACAGACCTGCTACTCAAAGCTGTGGTTTGTTCAAGGCTCGCTGAGCCCCCTGCTCCCTTCAGGATGTGGTGTCTGGCCACAGCCCTGTCTCCAGCTGCACTGCTCTCAGGCCCTTGCCACCCACGTACTACAAGCAACTATGGTCATGGCCGTCCCACCCTTAATCAGGGTGTGAAGAACCTCTACTTGCTTGTAAGAGCTGGTTTCTCAGCAAACCATGGGAGTATTTCCCTCAAGAACTATTAAAAAACAGCAGAAATAATAGTCCAAAGTTTGGAAATTTATAATAGCACAGAAAAGTGATTAGCTTTGTAAGAAAGGTCTAATGACAAAACGTAAATGGACCTTCTTTTTGGTGTTCTGAGACCCAGTCTCCAACATGGGAGGGTCCCCACATCAACAAACAGTTCTCGACACGAGCAGGGTGTCCAAGAATTCAACCTAATTTTGACACTACCCACAGATTCCACAGGTTAAGGGTTCGGTCCTACAAGGCTGCCCCACACACACACTTCAGACACCAGTCACAAGCCCAGGTTGTCACCTGTGCTTCTGACCAACCGGCTACGGATTGGAGGTCCCTACGACCCCTGTCTTGGGTTCAATTAATTTGCTAGAGCGGCTCACAGAACTCACAGAAACATTTTACTTACTAGATTTTGTTGTTAGTGCTGTTGAGTCAATTCTAACTCCTAGCAACCCTGTGTACAGCAGAGCGGAACCCTGCCCACTCTTTTTGCACCATCCTCTCACCTTCCAGCACTGTATCAGCCAGTGCCAATGCTCTGCTGCTATTCATAGGATTTCATGGCCCATTTTTTCAGAAGTAGGTTGCCAGGTCCTTCTTCCTAGTCTGTCTAGTCTGGAAGCTCCACTGAAACCTGTCCACCGTGGGTGACCCTACTGGTATTTGAAATCCCAGTGGCATAGCTTTCAGCGTCACAGCAACTGCAATATGACAACCGACAGACATGTGATGTGGTTCCCTGACTAGGAAACAAACCTGGGCCACAGCAGTGAGAGCACTGAATCTTAAGCACTGGACCACCAGGGCTGGCTTACTTACTAGATTGACAGTTTCTTATAAAAGGATATAACTCGGGAACAGCCAGATGGAAGAGACGCATAGGACAAGGTATCGGGAAGAGGCTCGAAGCTTCCATGCCCTCTCCAGATGAGCCACTCTCTCAGCACCTCCACGTGTTCACCAAGCTCTCCCAACCCAGTTCTTTTGGGTTTTTATGGAGGCTTGATTGTATGGGCATGATTGATTAAATCATTGGCTATTGGCAGTTGGTTTAACCTCCAGCCCCTCTCCCCTCCCCAGAGGTCAGGAGGTGGGACTGAAAGTTCCAGCCCTCTGATCACATGGTTGGTTCCACTGGCAACCAGCTCCCATCTTTACAGTCCAAAAGTCACCTCATTAACCTAACAAAAGACACCTCTATCACTCTCAACACTTAGGAAATTCCAAGGGTTTTGGGAGCTGTGACCTAAGAACTGTGGATGAAGACCAAATATGTAATGAGAAATCTGAATGACCAAGGATATATTTCTTATAAATCACAATAGCACAGACCTGCTAATCAAAGTTTCACTGTACTTCCCTTTTGGCTTTTGTCTTTTCATACAGGCTTGAATGCACCGGATAGACATTGTCTTTTAGAGATGCACACCACAGAAACACTGTAGCATTCTCCGTGGCAGTCATAAGAATTGGAATGACCTCAGAGGTGACAGTTGGAAAGCAAATGGGAAATTAGCAGGTTTAGGGAAGGGAAGAAA